CAAGATTATCTTCTGTGTCTGTGTTAATTGGTTTCCCTTTTCTTTGTTGAAGAGGGTCTGTGCAATCCTTCTGCCTAGTCCGCCATCTTGCCCCACCTCTTTTCCTGTCTTTTTAATGACCTTTTGCTTTCTGTGTGGATGATGGTCTTGATGTCATCCCACAATTCTGGTTTTCAGTGCATTAAGTCTATTCTTTACATTCTCTAAATTGAGGAAGGATGTGATCAAGGTCATGTTTTGGTTCTCGTGGACTTGTTTTAATTGTCTTCAGCTTCTACTTGAATTTGCATATGAGTAGTTGATGGTCTGTTCCACAGTCAGCTCATGGCTTTGTTTTGGCTGAAGATACTGAGCTTCTCCATTGCCTCTTTCCAAAGATGTAGTCAATCTGATTCCTGTGTATTTTGTCTGGTGAAATCCACGTGAATAGCCACTGTTTATATTGTTGAAAAAAGTATTTGCGATGAATAAGGCATTTGTCTAACAAAATTCTACCATAAGCTCTCCAGCATTATTTCTGTCACCAAGGCTATATTTTCCGACGACTGGTGATTTTTCTTCATTTCTGAGTTTTGCATTCCAATCGCCAATGATAATCAATGCATCTTGGTTGCATTTTTGGTCAATTTCAGATGGCAGAAGTTAGTGAAAATCTTTAATTTCCTCTTCTTTGGCATTGGTGGTTGGTGTGTAAATTTGAATAATAGTAGTAGTAACTGGTCTTCCTTGTAGGCATATGGCTATTATCCTATCACTGACAGCATTGTACTTCAGGACAGATCTTGAAACATCCTTTGTGACAGTGAATGCCATGCCATTTGTCTAGAGGTGTCTCTAGGTGGATTCAAACCACCAACCTTTTGCTTGATAGCTGAATCTTACTATTTGCACCACTTCGGCCCAATAAATACTAAAGGAGAGAACACAAGAAATTTTAATTTGCAGTATTGTGAGGCACCCAAACTGCTGATGATAGATGTATATGTATGTAAACTATGCAGACAGTCTAGATTCATTGTTCCACCTCATCCTCTTTATTCTCCTTTCAGAATGCCTGTCATGTTCACAGCGGAAGTACTCCCTTCAGCCCATCCCCAAGAGGAAGATTCCAAACCGATATTTGGGCCAGCCTAGCCCCCTTACACACCCACACCTCCTTGGGCCAGGTAATGCCTTCTAACCGTAATAACTGTCTCCCTAATTGGGTGCTTTCTCTAGAACTGTGCTGTCCAGTTGAATTTTCTGCAATAATGAAAATGTTCTGGATTTGCTCTGTCGACTGTGGTAGCCACCAGCCATGTGTGGCCATTGAACACTTAGAATGTTGCTAGTGCAACTGTGGAACTTAATTTATTCTATTTTATTTTAAACGGAAACTTAAATAGCTACATATAGTAGTGGTACTGTACTGGATAGGGCTAGTCTAGAATAAATACAATAAACCTTACATTTCAGAATAGTGAAAATACGTATTACAGGATATTTTTAAGAAAAGTTCTTTTACTTCTCTTAGGTAAAGTTGCTATAACTATGTTGTCCAGTTATTTTAACTATTGATGCCTTGTAAACTACTCTGTTAAAGGCATTTTAGAATGTATTTTTCTTGAATGTCAAAAATGCTCATTTAAAAATTTTGTTTAACAAAAATTTCTGTATAGATTATGTAGGATTTCCAGAGCTGATTGTCACAGCTGTGAGAGGTGGTATCCCAGTTGATAGAGGTGATACAAACAGTTGACAAAAGTTTACTTCACTAATTTTTTTTTTCTGCTATTAAGATCCCAGAGTTGCTGCTAGAAGATACGTCATTCTCATTGCTTTAATTGAGACTTAAAGGTTTTTTTTTTTTTTTTTAAGTTAAGGGAACCGCTTTAGGGGATAGATTTCATCCCACAGAAGTGATGTAAACCAAATACTCTGTAGAAAAAACAATCAAATTTTCAAGGAGCATTCATTATTATTTTGCTTCTGCTATGAGGAATTACATTTATGCAGTCATCCCTCGGTGTCTGCAGGGGGTTGGTTCCAGGACACACACTGCCCCGTGAATACCAAAATCCTTGAATGCTCAAGTCCCTTATATAAAATGGTGTAGTGTTTGTGTACGACCTACACACATTGTCCTGTATACTTTAAATCATCTCTAGATTACTTATAACATCTAATATAATGCAAATGCTATGTAAGTAGCGCTTTACATTTCCTTTTTGCCTTTGAAGGATTGTTTGACCAATTCATTGCTTCTGTTTTTCCTAAATATTTTCAAACCATGGTTGGTTGAATCTGCAGATGTAATACCTGCGGGTACAGAGGGCTTACTGTATTTTCTATATTGTTGTTGTTGTTATGTACCATTGAGTTGGACCCGACTCATAGCGACCCCTCCTTGGGTTTCCAAGGCAGTATTACTACGGAAGTAGATTGCCCCATCTTCCTTCCGAGGAGTGGCTGGTGGGTTTGAACCACCAGCCTTCTGGTTAGCAGTCAAGTGCCTTAGGCACTATGCTACCAGAGCTCCGTTTACTACATAAGCATATATAGTAAAACAATAAAGTAACTGAGCCTATCTCCTGAGATTACCTTTCAGTAAAACAGAGAGGCACACAAAATAAAGTATATTACCCTTAAGATCAGTATGAGACCAAAATGTCAACAATTATTCAGAAGCAAAGATTAGAAGATAAAGGGACAGGGACACACTAGAGTACTTGAAACAACCAGAATTAAAGAGAATGCTGACTCTGTGATAAACGTAACTAATGTCACCAAACAGTTTATGTGGAAACTGTCAAATGGGAACCTAACCTGCTGTGTAAACTTTCACTAAAAATTCAGTAAAACAATAATTTTAAAAAATAATAATGTATATTGCCTTTAGAAATGTGTTACTCTTTCACTATCTCTACTCAGTGAAGGATACCAGTGTGTCTCAGTGAGGGCTTCCTTTTGGTGATTCCTCATCAGACTGGAATTCCTGCTGGGAAGTTGGCCAGGACTCAGGAAATGCAGCTTACCACTGAAACACACAAGAAATCAGTTTTTCAAAGCTGTAAGGTAAGACTGATAGCAATGGAGTTGGTGTTACTTTAAGTCTTTCCCTACCCTATTAACCTACCTCTACCTGCAATTAAAAACAAAAACAAAAAAGTTAAAATTGATACTAAGTTTTACCAGCTTTGAAAATGATTGCTTTCTCGTGGTGAGATGCTTCACATGGTCAGCTGCATTTTCTAGGCCTTGAACCTAATAATCATATTGTCAAGAGGACAACCACTGTATTGAGACTGTTCACTGTGGATGTTATATGCATGTTAACTGTGTATTAACATGTAAATAAATACACGCATTCATACCCATGTACATATACACCTGTTCATGTCACCTGTGAGAGAAAAGCAATGCTTGTCTCCTGGACAGAGTCTTGAATATGAGATAGAAGTAGATAGAATTGTGAAACAAAACAATCAGCATGTTAAACGTTAGAGAAATCAACAGGTACTAAAATAGAGGCAGAAACTATAATAGTTAACCAATGTATTAATCATCTTTCTTTCTTTATCTGGAGGTTCAAGATTTGTAGAAGTGTCAGAATGACTGGGGCATTGGAAAGTTAAATTTTAAGAAAAAGCAAAAGGCATTTATTTGATTTTACTTTTTAAGAAAAAGTCTGTTTTACAGAGCCAAAGTCAGTTGGTTAGTTTCTCGTATAAATTATGTTGTCTGTTTCTTGGTTTGCTCCCAAAAAAAGTTTGTGTTCAGCATAGTTACTTGGTATTAATTACTGTGTCTACTTGGTAGTATTTAAAACTTTTGGAAAACATTTCAACGGCTTTCCTAATATTACAGAAATATATATATATATAAATATAATTAGAGAATACAAATAGCATACTTTTAAAAAATTTCTCAGAGCAAACCACTGTTGAGATTTTAGTATATGCGTCTTCTAGACTTGTTTCTTATGCAGAAGTATGTCTATCTCTGTGTGTGTATGCGTACCCTTTGTATTTTGCTATTGTTAGGTGCTATGAGTCAGTCCTACGTACAAGAGACCCTACATACAACAGAACAAAACACTGACTGATCCTGCACCATTTTTACAATTGTTGTTATGCGTGGGCCCATCATTGCAGCTGCTTTGTCAGTCTGTGTCACTGAGGGTCTTCTCCATTATTGCTGACCCTCTACTTTACCAAGCATGATTTCCTTCTCCAGAGACTAGTCCCTCCTGTGAACATGTCCAAAGTAAGTGAGATGAAGTCTCATCATCCTCGCTTCTAAGGAGCATTCTGACTGTACTTCTTCCAAGACAGACCTGTTCATTCTTCTGGCAGTCTGTGGATTCTTCACCAACCCCATAAATCAAAGGCATCAATTCTTTGGTCTTTCTGATTCATTGTCTGCTTTCACATGCATATGAAGCAATCAAAAATACTGTCCAGTGAAAACACTACTGACACTCCACTAGAAATGAAAAGAAACAGCTTGATGAAGGAATAGAATCACTTCAAAAAGGGGAGAGTGTTACAGACATCCACGCAAGATATTACAGTACTCTGAAGTGTAGGGAGAACAGTAAAGGTTTTCAAAGGTATGGTGAACAAAGGATTTGTGGTTGCAGGGAGGGGGAATAACAAAGAAGTTATTGAACTAAAAGTTTAAACATTATCAGTAAGCTCATTTGTTGTCTGAGGTTGTGTCATCCTGAGAGTTGTTTAACAAAGTGTTCTGTAGGCCTAGTCATGTTGCAGTCTTGTCTCTTTATCTCAACAAACTTAGTTTCAACTTTAGTTACAAATTTATAGAGGTCTCATAGAACACAGTGGAAAGTCCCAGTCAGTATCATTTTATTTTGGGAGTCAGAATGTCAGACTAGGTCTTGATAAATACCTATTTTAGCTACAAGGTTGTGTTTTTGTTTTTGTTTTTGTTTTTTTAATAAGGTCTAACTTCTTTAACCATTATCATTTCTGTTTTTCATCCTTCTGACCAAAGAGTGCTCTCTGGGGCCTGTCTCACAAACGGTCTTGACCCAGATACTAAGTAACTCTTTATCTTTTGCCTTCTTTGATTTTCAAACAGTAAAAATTTGACAAAAAGGCTGAGTGGCTTCTATTGAAAAGTAGAAATTCAAAGTGGAGTTTTAAGTTAGATCTGAAGTCACCCAATTCAGGCATGCCGGTGTCAGATTCACATCCACATCACCATGGTGTGGATCAGGGCACCTTAGTTCTCAAAGTGACATCTTTGTCTTTTAGCACTTTAAAGATACCTTTTGTAGTAGATTTGCCCAGTAGAATATGTTGTTTGATTCCTTGACTGCCGCTTCCACGGGCATTGATTATGGATCCAAGTAGTAACTTACATACTGCTCAGTTATTTCCTTCAATTCTGAAAAATGAAATTGTTGACTTGGCTTCTTCTGAATTTTGGGAGGCTGTTACCCTGGATTTCTCCTTGCCTTTACTACTCAAGTTTCCTGAAGCAGCAATGGCTTGGTAAATACTCAGCAGAGTTACACAAGAAATAAGGGGATTCTGTTCTGGCTGCTGCTTTAGCTACACCATAGAGTCAGACTCGCTCCCTGAGTCCTCCTAGTGACTTTCCAAATTGACCATTTCCTTCAGTCCGAGTATTATAGACCATTCCTAAGTTTTATGACCATGCCATCCCTGTGCTAAGGAATGTGTCTGTAGAAACAGAAAATGTCAGTTCAGCCCCCTTGTTCACTGATACGCTTTCCAGTTGTCACCCGGGGGTGGGGTGACTATTCCATGTAGGAAGGCACGTTGCATTCTGAGCTGTTAAAAAAAAAAAAAAAAAAAAACCTCCTCATCGAACATTAAGAAATCCAGCTGTGAGATGTCTTAGTATAAAAATTATTTCAAGTTTAAAGAATGGTATACTTATTTTTTTTTAAATAAAATTTACATACAATGAAATACACAAACCTTAAATGTGCAATTGAGTGATTTTTGACAGAGGTGTGTGTCAGTATAACCCACATCTCAGTGAGCATGCAAAACTTGTCTATCACCCCAGAAAGTTCCCTTGTACCCTATAGTCAGTCCCCACCTCTTCAGGCAGGGTTTTCATAGGATAGAAGGATAGGCCTGACCCTCAAGTCACCGTTAAATACAAAATTAGAAAGTGACAAGTCCTTTCAAAAGGTACTATTACACCTTGGGAATTCAGAAGGAGGGATTTATTCCACCTCTTGACATTGAGAGATACTATTTGACCTTTAGCTCTATTTTTAAAAAGTATAGATCCTTTAACAATATTTGTCAAATGCACTCTATGTTACAGTTATTATTCTAGGCTCTGAGAATAGTATTGAACAAACAGGCAAAAATCTGTGGTGTCTTGGAGCTTACATTTTTTTGGGGAAGTCATATGGGGAGAAAGTGACGCTTTTCCCTACCTTATATATTGAAATTTGAGGGCACTTTTGATTAAACATCTCACACTGCCTTCCACATAATGGTATTCAATAATATTTGACTGCATGGGTAAAAGAATGAACCAAAGAGCTGGAAGAGATCTTAAGGGGTCACGAACTACTTTTCATGCAGAACTACGTTTAACTATTATTTTTCCCAAATTTTTGCAATGGAATGGAGGAAATTTGAAACCTGGGTTATCTTTTAGAAATTGTGAGGAGATTTGACATAAATTGAAGAGCTAAACTTAGGTGTCTCCACCTAATATTGAGGTGCTTTCAGGTCTTTGGGCCTTTGGAAATGCAAAGCATCATTTTTATTTGTTATTTCTAGGGGAGGTGACGCCAGGAATATCCCAGGTGGAATATGCACTTCGCAGACACAAACTAATGTCTCTGATCCAAAAAGAAGCCCAAGGGCAGAGAGGGACAGACCAGACAGTGGTTCTGCTGTCCAACCCTATCTACTACATGAGCAACGATATCCCCTATACTTTCCACCAAGACAACAATTTCCTGTACCTGTGTGGATTCCAGGAGCCCAATAGCATCCTGGTCCTCCAAAGCCTGCCTGGTAAGCAGTTACCATCACACAAGTCCATGCTCTTTGTACCTCGGAGAGACCCCAGTCGAGAACTTTGGGATGGCCCACGATCTGGCACTGATGGAGCGGTAGCTCTAACTGGAGTGGACGAAGCCTATCCGCTAGAGGAATTCCAACATCTAGTTCCAAAACTGAAAGGTAACAAATGGAAGCAAAAGTCCTAACACAGGCCAGGTTGGGGTTGAGACCTGCCTTACCTTCACCATCAAGTTTAGACAAAGTTCTCAATTTCCTAAAATGATTGTCATAGCAGTGTTCCCTGACCACCATGAAAGAAACAAGTTTCCTCAAAGACTGTGCTACTTTATGTTATTGTTGTTGTTAGGTGCCATTGAGCTGGCTCTGACTCTTAGCAACCCTATGTACAATAAAACGAAACACTGCCGAGTTCTGCACCATCCTCACAACAGTTGCTATGCTTGAGCCCATCATGGCAGCCACTGTGTCAGCCCATCTCATTGAGGGTCTTCCCCTTTTTCACTGACCCCCTGCTTTACCAAGCATGATAGCCTTCTCCAGGAACTGGTCCTGTGGGGCTGCTTTAGAGATTGTTGTAACTCATATGATAGGTCTTCACTGGATGATTCATTACTGAGATTAATTTAATTCTGCTGGTTTAAAATCAGAATTTCTTTTAAAAGTGGAGCATGCGTATGGGCTACTCTTAAAGATTACTCACCAGTTTATTGGCCACTTCTTATCAGAGGACCATTACTTCTTATCTAAACATTTTGCCAGCTCTTCACAAGGAAGCAGTATTCTCAAACAGTGATCCATGGATCACCTGGGAACATACTAGAAATGCAGACTCTTAGGTGCCGTCCATACCAACTGAATCTGAACAGGCTTCTCACAGGTGATTCATGTGCACAGTAAAGCTTGAGAAGGACTACTTTACATTTCCAGAGTTAACTTTTGAAGAAGCAAATAAGAATTTATGCTTTCAGTTGAGTTCTTGCCCCTCAGAATAGTCACTTTCTCTATATTTTATATTTATTCCAGTGAAATTATAATCACTCAGAATGTTTTGGGATTACTCTTCTGGAAATTTTTTCAGAACCAATGCCATATTATAAACTATCCTTAGTGAGTATTATAAATCTTTGGGTTTAAGAAGAATTTTATTTTTTTAAATCATCCAAAACTTACTTAAAGCCAAACTTGGTAAATAAGATAAATGGATCAAGTTGGAAAATAATGAATTTTTGACTAGAATAATACACGGTTGTGAAGTTTTAGTCTGATTTTCTTATGATTGATAAATATCCCTGAAGGCAGCTTCTAAAAGAAAACCTCAAAACTGTTTCCAGCAAAACACTGATTAGAGTGTGTAAGTTCTAATATATTTAGATTATTTTTACACCACTTTATAGAAACAGTTTCTGTTTTACAAAAATAATTACTCGGTTTAACTCTCAGAGCTTTCTTTTGTTTTCAAAGTATACATAAAAGCACATAATCATTTTTTGTGTGTATATGTGACTTTGAAATGTCTTGAATTAGTTACTGGCTATTATGTTCAACAGTCTGAAATTCATTAATCTAGTATAGTTAAAATCACTCTTAAAATATTTTTCTCAGGAGAACAACTCATCCACCATTCTTAGTTTGTAGTTTACCAGTTAAAAGCACGAGGCAAAAGGAAAGATCAATGAAGAGTTATGTAAAAGTTTTAAAAAGTTGGCCAATGATTGAGAATAGGTAGTAGAGACATTTTACTTTTAAAAAACTACCATTCAATTTTTGTCTATTGGAAGTAAGATTACAATTTTGCATGTTATGTACACATAAAATGATTTTCACTTTTAAATGAAAATATTGGGGATGTTGTATCACTAAAGCATATCCAGCCAAAGTTTTTAGGGCTTTTTCTCCTCTACTGCCCCATAGTACGTTTTAGTCACATAAACTGTACTGCTGTCCAGACTTAGATTGTTATAGGAAGGCTACTAATGACCTACTGTAGAAAAGAAAACAAAGAACACTTATAGACCTGGTGTTAAATGGACATCACTTCCATAATGAGCCTTCTTATTGTGTAGCTCAGGCAAATACAGACCATTTCTTTGGACCCCTAAATTTGAACCCTGATTGTCTACCATGAGAATTTATAGCAGGTGGAAAGGGAGAGGTGGAGAACCGTGATCAGCACATACTGTCAACTACAGTGTTTCTAAAGCAATGAAGAATTGTTCCAAAGTGAGAGAAGATCCTCCTTTCACTAGTGCTGAGATCTTTTTATAGAGGAACACAGTGTTCTAACTATAAGGTCATAACCTGAGGACTTTTTCTGACCATGTTGGGTGCCGTTACCCAACGATGCCTGAGATCACTAGCAGTGGTGGGAAGCAATCGCTGTGATTGTTCTGTAACAGTTAATGAGTAAAACCAGTGCTTGAAGAAAGCTGCCCCAACCTGTGCCCTTTAATCCCATCTATCTTGTCAGCTTTACAGAGAACACTGAAGTTTTGAGGCAGAAAAGCTGCATATTCACTCTCAGAATATCTTGTCATTTAGGGGAATGGCCTTTCCAGTGATTTATGACCAAACCCTTCTATTACTTTAGTCCTGGGAAAGTGTGCACCCAGCCCTTTAGAATTCCACACCATGGATCTTACCATTGTTCAAGTCATTATGACAGCTTGGCATTTCTTGTCGCTGCTGTTAGTTTTACTTTAAATTTATTTTTGGCTTCTTATTTTAAGCTGAGACAAACACAGTTTGGTATGACTGGATGAGGCCGCCTCATGCACAGCTTCACTCTGAATACATGCAGCCTCTGACTGAAGCCAAAGCCAGGAGCAAGAACAAAGTCCAGGCTGTCCAGCAGCTGGTGCAGCGCCTCCGGCTGATCAAATCTCCTGCAGAAATTGAGCGAATGCAGACTGCTGGGAGGCTGACATCACAGGTATGGTTCCTAAACTAAAAAATCATAGGCTGTTAGAGTTCACAGGGCACCTTAAGGTAGTATATGCCCAATGGAGTAATATCTTCAAAGACAGGTGAGCATCTAGCTTCTTCTTAAATATATGTAGCGAACATGTCTTGCTCATGTTAGTGAATATGAGACTTGCTCAGTACTTTAAAAGGCAAAGTAAATGCCATCTTGTATCCTTTACCTGTCAGTTGCAGTTGTTTCTTCTTGGAACAACATAAACTCCTTAATTCTGTGACAGCTATACCAATGGTGGGAGTTAAACAGAGTTTGATTGCTAAAGAAGACTCAAGAGGATCCAGAATGACAGTGCTTACAAACTGTAGGTTTGTACAAACAGCATTAGAGTAAGGGTATGTGTCACAGTCAATAGCCATCTCAAGCGAGGGGTCCCAAGAAGTCAGGTACAGGCTTCTATTGGCCCTCCTCGTAAAGGCTGGGAGCAGCATGCATTTTCTGTCATGGATCAGTAACCTCTGATGGATGGACGGAGCACTAAGAAACTAAGCAGCCCAAAATGGAAGTTCCGCTAGGGATTTTTATGTTTTCTTGGTCACGTGGCATATTTCTGTTACATAACAGCAGAACCAAGGGAGGGTCTCATCGAAACCAAGTACAAACCATCCATATCTGTATTATCAAGACACAGTGCTAACAAGCTACTACAAACTGCCCCCAAGCCCCATGATCCGTGGTACAAAGGAATATTATCAGTTTGTCTTACTGCTTAACCAAGCTCTGTACCACGCAGGAAATTTAGCCAAACAGCTCAGGCTACTTCCAGGCCTTCTGGAACTAACCCTCACAGAAAAGTTTACATCTCTGAGCCATGGTCAAGGCTTTTTTCCTATAAAATAATAATTTTTAGTTTGACAGCAGTTATTTTATAATCCCTCACTGGTTCTTTTTTTTTTTATTATTATTAGGATTTGGGTGAAGAATCCCTCACTGGTTCTTATATGTGTTTGGATTCTGTATGTGTGTTTTAATTGCTGAAGTCTGGACCCCTGTACCTATAAATATGATCCTATTTGGAAAAAAAGATTTTCTTTTGTTATATTACTGAGAACATGCCAGAGGAGAGTGGGTCCTATATCTAATCTCTTCTGAGTGATGTCTTATAAAAAGGGACAACAGACATGGACAGACACACCAGGAAGTGACCATGTGAGAAATTATTTACAAGGCATGTAATGCCAAGGAACACCCGGGACTACTTACAAAGAGGGACGGACCTTCCTTATAAAAAGGGACAGGTCAGAACCTGTCTAACTTCTTGGAGGATAATAAGAATTAAGATCAGCCTGAAGCTGTTCCCTGTGAGATGGAGGTTAGACATACCTCCACTCTCCAACCTTTTTACCAATTTTGAACCAGCCATTTATCTCACAACATTCTACTTCTTTGCTGGGTTCGGTAATCCATAGCAGTGACCACACAAAACTCAGGTCATACGTAGAGTTAAGTGGCTTATTAAGGAAAAGCGTAAGTCTCAGGATCAGGAAGCAGGCAGGCGAAGTCTCCCTTCAGTGCAGGGCAGCTTGCAGCACTTCTGGGCCCCTTCAGGACAGGATCTTCACAGGTTCCTGAGGACCGGCTCCTCTTGGCTCTGCTGCTGGGCCCCTTCTGGGCCTGACATTGTCTTCATTGCTGTAGCCCTTGGCCCAAGTTACAGCTCTTTTAGGAGTTCCTTGCCTCCTCACATTTGCACAGTACTTTGTGGCCGCTTTATTTGCTTGTCTGTTGCCCAATCCCTGCGAGGTGCATACCAGTCACAGGGCAGGCTGCAGTCTGGAGTCAGACAACCAGTAGTTGTTTACATCTTACCCAGGAAATGCCAACTTGGACAAAAGTAGCAAACTCTCTGGGGTAGAAAACTAGGGCACATGTAACTCCTCAAAGCTTAGAGGGGAAATCTCTAGCTGTTTTTCAGAAGAACCAAGGCAAAAGGCACATAAGGCAACTCATTTAAAGCCTATGCCATGATTTGGACTTATAGTCTCTAAAACTATGAGACAATCAATAAAACACCATGCATTTGTGGTGTTTTTGTTACAGCAGCGTTAGGTAACTAAGCCACAGCTGAACCATACAGTTACCATTTCAGGAAATAAAATTGACCATCAATCAACTAGTTCGTTCCAGTCACCTTTGAAGCATGGCACTTATTAGAACAATCAACCGTATGAGATCAAAAGGGCAGTAATCCCCCAGGGGTAAACAAAGAAGGCAGGAAGGGATAGGAAAGAAGGATGAATGGAAATAGAAAATACAGGGAAGAAGTAGGATAAGTGATGTTACATTTTTGGAAAGTTGGAATCAATTATATGAAACAATATGTGTATAGATTGATTTTTGGGAAACCGATTTGCTCTTTAAACTTTCACCCAAATCACAATAAAAAGTTAAGAAATAAATACACACACACACACACGTACATACATTTTGGCTGCTAACCAGAAAATCAGTGGTTCAAATCCACCAGATCCGCCATGGAAGAAAGATGAGGCAATCTACTTCTATAAAGATTTATAGCCTCAGAAACCCAGTGGGGGTCACTGTCAGTCTGAATCGACTGATGGAGGTGAGTCTGGTTTTGTTTGTTTTTTTTTGTTGTTGTTTTTTTTAATTGTGATTTGGGTGAAGATTTACAGAGCAAATTCACTTTCCATATAGCAGTTTATATATACTTTGTCTCATGACATTGACCACAGTTTATCACAGTGCAACAGCTCCCCTCCCACTTCCTCCCCATAGTTACCTCTTCCCAGTGTCCATC